ACACCATAAGCCAAGCGAATCATTTTGGGATGTACACAAGACATGCCAAATGTGTGCATGAAGCTCATACTTGTATTGCCATCTGTTTATGAGATACAAAGTGTTACAGGCTAAAATGTACCATAACGTCACAATGGCAGGGAACATCTACATGAAGCCTCATGAAACAGCAAGGGATACGGCCTAAAAGAGGCAGGTCTTGGATGGCACAAGTAGAAGTTACTATAAGAGATGTTTATACTATTGAGGAAATAGCGCATGGTGAGGAATGGGTCACAGTGTCGCAGAGAAAAACAGTCTTGCATAGAGTTGTACTTTAGACCAAGGGTGCCTGGAATGGATAGCTGGTCAAACAGAGACAGTGGTCCAAAAGCTGATCAATTCATGCCCAGGTGACATTACACACACAGGCTGGTTTGCAGTGAAAGGTAAGAAGAGTGGGGGATTATATTGCAAAAGTGAATGGACACTATTTGAAAACAGAGAGCCTCAATGTCCCAACATCCAGTATGATAATGGAGGCGGAGGCAGTACCAGCAGCTTTCCAATGGCTTGAGAGCTTTAGGTCTAGATATGTTGTAACAAGACTCACAGAGCGCGCATCAAAAAACTGAAACTGGTGTCCTATGCATACAGTGGCTTGCATCATTTGATAAGGCTCAGATCAGGTGCATATCATGGATTTTCTGTCCAGTATATTTGGGCGTGCTGGGTAATAAGCAGACTGATAGATTGGCTGCTGCTGCTCCTCTGGGTGGTGAGCTACTTTATTATAAAGCAGACGTGGTGAAGGCTCTCTAGGATCAAATGCTTAGTGCAACATACAGAGAATCTATACAATGAGATTCTTAGTCAACGGTGAATGATGAGAGGATCTGGAAGATATTCAACATTGTGAGGGCAACACAGGCGGACCTTTAATCAGGTTGCAGCTGGTACTATTAGCATGTCGACTCTTCATTGGCTACTGATAAAGGAGATGGAGAACATGTGAGAATGTCCCGAGTGCAGAGATGTCAATTCTTGATTGACTGATTCATTTATTTATTCATTCAAGTATCTAGGGAGCGGAAGGCAAGGGGGAACCACCGCTGTACTATCCAAAGAAAATGATGCCTCAAAATAATACATATTCAGATAACGACGTGAATGGGGATTCCAGTGGAATCACCTCGTCCGGAAGGGAGCATCATGTTCTACGGGTGATACCCGACCGTCATCCAGTTACTGTAGAAAAAGTAAATGGTAGAATCATCATGAACATTGGTACATGGAATGTCAGAACACTCGTACAAAACGGAAAGTTGGATAACATCAAGATGGAAATGAAAAGAATGAACATCAACATATTAGGAATTAGTTAAATGTGATGGCCAGGAGTAGGTGACAAGTATTCAGATCAGTACAGAATTATTTATTCGGGTGGGAAGGAATATAGTAAGGGAGTTGGTATTATTTTGGATCAAAAGAACTCAAAAACTGTGAAAAGATTTTGGACAATATCAGACCCAGATATTAGTAAAACTTCGCGGCAGACTGTTTGACATCAACTTAGTACAGATTTATGCCCCAACAGCAGATAGTTCAGAGGAAGATACTGACGCATTTTATGATGAGTTAGACATGGCTGTTGATCAATGCAAAAATTGTGAAGTAACAATGGTACTTGGAGATTTCAACGCGAAAATAGGAAGTGAAAAAGTGTACGGAATAACGGGTGGCTATGGCCTAGGAGAAAAGAATGTGAGAGGTGACAGATTAATGGCATGGGCTGAGTCACACAGAATAATAATAGGTAACACCTGGTTTAAACACCTTCCTCGAAGATTGTGGACTTGGAAAAGTCCTGGTGATAATGTCCGCAATCGATTGATTATATTTTTAATTTCAAGAAGATTCAGGAGCAGCTTAGTTGGAGCAAAAACTAGACCAGGAGCAGACTGCTTTAGTGACCATCAGTGGGATATGTTGCGTGAGTCAATTTAGCAGACATCTAAAGAGACAATTCCACCAACCCATGGATGAAAGAAGGAAGAAAAAGAATGATAAAGAAGAATACTCTAGAATACAAAAAGAAATAGTGAACAAATGCAAAGTAGCTAAAGAAGCCTGGCTGAATCAAATGTGTACAGAGATTGGGGAAAACAACAGGAAAGACTCACATTCCATGTACCAAAAGATAAATATGTTAACAGGATGACACGTAACATCACTGGATGTTTAAAATCAAAAGATGGTGACTTATTAATGGGACATAGTAATATAATTAACAGATGGACAGAGTATATAGGGGAATAGTGTGATGATAATAGACCAGATGTAGAACTGCAGACCAACAATGATGGTTCACCAATAATGACTGCAGAAGTTGAAGATGCAATACATCATATGAAGAAAGGAAAAGCACCCGGGCCAGACAACATCTCACTGGAAGAAATCGAAGCACTGGGAGATTTTGGAATTGAAATAATATCTAACCTTTTAAACGATATTTATAATAGTGGGTATATTCCAAATGACCTTTTAAAATCCATATTTATAGCTCTGCCTAAGAAACCAGGCACTATAAAATGTGAAGACCATCGCACAATAAGTCTTATGAGCCACATGACTAAAATTTTACTGAGAATAATTATGAGAAGAATAAGAAACAAAATTAAACCAGAAATCAGCGATGAACAATGTGGTTTTGTAGAAGGAAAAGGTACAAACAATGCCATATACATCCTAAGGACATTGTCAGAAAGAGCTATAGAAGTAAAGACTGATTTGTACATATGCTTCATAGACTATACAAAAGCATTTGACTGTGTGAAGCATGAAGAAGTAATCAAACTGTTAGAAAAATTAAACATTGATGGGAAAGATCTACGAATAATAAAGAACATGTATTGGCAGCAAACAGCAGTTATAAGAATAAACAACTGTTTAGGTACATTTCAAAGCATAAAGAGGGGCGTACGACAAGGATGTGTACTGCCACCTGATTTGTTTTCAATATACAGTGAATATATAATGAGAGCTTTAATTGGTATGCCCGGAATTGTGGTTGGTGGGCACAATATAAACAATTTATGCTATGCTGATGACACATTCTTGATAGCAACAAGTCAAAAAGAACTACAGGAAATAATAGACATTGTGGTGTTAGAAAGTGGAAGAATGGGCCTCAGTTTGAATAATGGGAAGACAGAAGTAATGGTGGTATCAAAGAAACGAATTATTCCTAAGTGTGTAATAAAAGTTGATGGTGTTATTTTAGGACAAGTACAGAAATTTAAGTATCTGGGCACATGGATAACATCAGATGGAAGATGCATAACTGAGATAAGAAATAGAATAGGACAGGCAAAAACTGCATTTTATAAAATGAAAAACATCTTGTGCAATATATCCTTGTCATTGAGAGTTAGAAAAAGAATTCTTGCTTGCTACATACATCCAGTTTTAACATTTGGCTGTGAATCCTGGACAATCGGTAGGCAGGCCAAACAATTTCTGGAGGCCGCGGAGATGTGGTTTTACAGAAGAATGCTTAGAATTTCTTGGACAGCCAAAAAGAGCAACCAAGAGGTTTTGAAAGAGGTGGGAGCCCGAAGACAACTTATCACAGACATCAGAAGGAGACACTCATCATTTTTCGGCCATGTTATGAGAAGAGGGAAAATAGAACATGTTGTGACCACTGGAAAGATATGTGGAAGGAGAGATAGAGGAAGACAACGAGAGAAGATGCTTGACAGTCTTTTTGCATGGCAGGAGGTGTGTCGGCACACGAACTGATACATACTGCAGGAGATCACAGATAATGGAGAGGCATGATCGCCCACGCCAGTCGGCAATGCACCTGATGATGATGATGATGATCTAGGGAGCATAATATCACCCACTGGAAAAATGGAATCAGAGATAAAACACAGATGTAACAAAGCAAATCAAATCATCTGACAGATGTCACTAACTTTGTAGAACAAGCAGGTAACAGCTGACACCAAAAAAGAGTACTTTTCAATAGTTATTTTTAACCAACATTCTGTTATCACTGCCAAATGGTGACATTAAAAACAAAAGAAAAATTAAAACAATAGTTATTGTCTTCTTTTCTTCTTCGCGTTCACCAGCTGTACACTCTGGTGGAAAGTTCTGGTTTCTCGTCCACTACTGAACTGCAGTCCTGCTCCAGAACCTGAGTGTTGCGTGTGCATCAGTTTTACAGATCTCATTCTTTTGAATACAGACTGTTGGTTCCTTGCCTCTCCGGCAGATGCACTCCGACTTCAAAGGAAGCTCCCCAATTAGTCGACTCTTAGGACTTGCTTTTGGGGAGGCAGTGGGTCTATTCTTGTTTTCCCCACAATGGGGCCCCGGAACCCACACGGGGGACAATAGTAATTGAAAAACTTGAAGCTTTCTTTCATTTCCTTAACAACTGTTGTCTTCCCTTTCCATGATAACAGATGCAGTGAGAATCTAAGATTGAAAAAACAATACATGGAGAATAAACCACAAACATTTATTAATTGTGTGTGCAGTATAAAAAGAATTAAATAATTACATAATCACTAACATTGAGTTTTGGGAGTGAACAAATTCTACTGAATCAAGAGGCGAGGAAAAGAAACTGGCACAGTATAAGTCGCACACTGACAAAACATGATAACAATAAAGCTAGTATGTCTTTTTACTGAAACCCATAGAACCAATGAAATACAAGAAGATCAGACAAACATATGGAGAAGAGAATGAGAGACATTCAAATAAGATAGGAAGGGTATAGGATGGCAAAGGATATGACAACCCTTCAATAATGTAAAAAGTGCAGAAGAGGGAAAAAGGAGGAGGAGGAAAAAAAAAGAATCTAGAATAATGTAAAGAAACATTTCACAACTTGTTGTTTTCATTTTTAAACTACAATCCATCAGTTAATTCTTGTATCTCCAAAGTTGCAAACCATGTCAGCTACAATAATGCAGTAACAAGAAAATTGCCCAAATCAGTACCTAAAGGTTGCTTCCTGAAGTAATTCTTTAATGTGTACCATTCACTTCCTAGCCGCTTGAGTGCTTCTTCATCATGTAGAGGATACAAATTTATCACGATCTGACGACTTAAATATTTTTTTACTGAAAAATAAAAGACATTTATATTTGATTAGAAAACAAATTCTGAAATATTTCAAAACTAAATAAATAAAATAAGAAACAAAAAGCATTTTGCACAGAAAGATAATACCAAAAACAACCGTTCAGACATACAGGATTTTTTTTTTTATTGGGGGGGGAAAAAGCATTTGGCACAGAAAATAATACCAAAATCAGCTGATCAGACATATAAGAGTAAATAGTATATGTGTGATGTGGACAATTAATATGGTTCATTTAGTACATATTGTAACATTGTTGGCATTTTCAAATTCAAAAACATATCTCTCTTCATTCGTGATAGTTTCTAATTACACTTTCTGCAAAGATATTTGTTATTTAATTTAATTTCTTCTTCTTCATCTTCTGCATTCATCTGAAGATATACGTGTTTTGCCTGTTTAAAACACGGCTGCACCATCTGAGCATTTCAGCCAACACATATGACTCCTGCAGACATCTGTTGCCCGGGTTAATCTTAATTTAATTTAATTAATTTATCACAGTCTGTGTCTGCGGCTTATGCATTATAGATGCGCTTCGTAATGCCAAAGTGCCAGGTTTGATCACAGCTGCTGGAATTCGGATAGCAGATTGTCTTGCACTGATTTTAACAGTTGTAGTGAGAGCCAACCATATAGAAAGCTTGAGCTTCAAAGATAGAGAACGAGATGACAAGATTATTTTAAGGTAACGTAGGTATAGTATTACAAATAATGTATGTACATTACTACCCTTATACTAAAGTTTAGACTTATCCTTTGTAAACCAAATTCAATATATATGTGTATTATTCACCTTTAAAGAATTTATTTTCATTTCCGCTCCAAGCCCGAAGTGAAATAAGTTATTTGTTCATATGTATTAGGACATTTCTTCCCACAGGAGTGAAAAAAGGCAGACTGATTGTAAACCAAATTCAATATATATGTGTTTTATTCACCTTTAAAGGATTTTATTTTTATTTTCAATATATATGTGTTTTATTCACCTTTAAAGGATTTTTTTTTTTTTTTCGCCCTAAGCCCAAAGTGAAATCAAGTTAATTGTTTTATACGTATTAGGACATTTCTTCCCACACAAGTGGAAAAAGGGTACTATTATAAAAATACCAAAGAAAGGAGATTTAGGAAACTGTAACAACTGGAGAGGTTTCACATTACTATCAGTAACTAGCAAAATCTTTAGCCGGATAATACTTAAACGAATGATAGTAAAATAAGACAAGAGCAAGCAGGATTCAGAAAGGGGAAATCATGCATTGATCACATGTTCACGCTGCGTCAAATATTTGAATAAAGTAACAAATGGAATAGTGCAGTTTATAAGACCTTTGTGGATTTTGAAAAAGCCATTGATAGCTTGCATAGGGAATCACTATGGAAGATTTTGTGTCTCTATAGTGTACCACAGAAAATAGTAAATTTGATCAAAGTAATTTACTTAAGAGTTTCAATGCAAGGTAGTTTATGATAATTATACAACAGAAAGTTTCTTTGTCAATATAGGATGCATACTATCCCTCTTTTTGTTCAATTTAGCCATTGACTAGATGATGAAGGAAGTTACACGAGATAGAAAAAGAGGCATCAGGTAGTCACTCATCTCTGTTTTAGAGGATTTGGATGACACCAGCGTTAAATCAAGCCGTCATGTGGACACTCAGGAAAAGATAGAAAGCACTTAAGATAGGACTCAAAATAAACACCAGTTAAACTAAAGTAATGAGAAATAATTTTAACACAGAAAATCCAATTATCTTAAATGATGAAGCAATAAAGGAAGTTGAAGAATGTATATACCTGGAAGTAAAGTTACTCCAGATGGAGATTCTGAAAAGGATGTAACATCAAGAATAAACAAAGCAAATCAAACATTTGCCATGCTCAACAATATATAGACGTCGAAGGGATTTAGTTTGAAGTCAAAACTCAGAATATACAAGAGCAACATTTTAGGAATATATTATACAACAGTGAATATTGACATTGGGAGTGACTAAATGCTATGCTCAGTCTTGATTTTCTAAGCTAACAAGATAAGGGCTTTGAGAACGCGTAAGACCTGTAAGTATGAGAGGGCCAATACCCTTCTTGGACGCCTCTGGCAGAAGGTGTGTAACAAAACCACCCCTTCTGTGTTTGTGCAGTCTCCAGGATGGACCCAAAAAGTTGAACAGGTTTGAAAAGAAAAAAGATCAGTAGCTACACAATTAGATTAAGTGTGAAAGCCACCTCAAAGGTTACAAGCAGATAGAGAAGACAGAAAAGGATTTAAAAAAAAAAAATCAAAAGAAATCAAGTGGTATGCAGCAGATGCAAACAAGACTACATGCAAATAACAGAGTGGCCGTAAAATGAATATCTGATCTGTTGTTGGAAACGTGCTTGGTAATCTCCCAATATGTCTTCAACGTATGGTTTTATACTGTTTAGCAGTACCACCGATATTATTTTATAGCCTGTCGATAATAGTGATATACCTCTATAATTTTCACATTTATACTTGTCTCCTTTCTTAAAAATTAGGTATTAATAATGACATTTTCCACTCATGGGGTAATTTTCCCTTCTTCCAAACTGGTTCTATTAATTCATGTAGCTTTACATGATATGCATGACCACCTTCTTTTATAAGTTCAGCAGAAATTCCATGAGCACCAGTTGTTTTGTTTTTAAGCTGTGTTATGACATACAGGCTCTTCAATATTTAGTTCACAAGTTAGTATCTCTTCCCCTGGGTAACTACAGTGGAACCTCGCTTAACTTGCATAATTCGTTCCAGACTCATACTCATTAAGCGAAACACTCGTTATGCGAAACCATTTTTCTTATATAAATTAATTTAAAATACGATAATGCGTTCCTTGTCGAAAAAAATACAAAATGCTATGTATAACGTTTATTCAAAGAAAATTATATACATATTGTTAAGGAGAGTTAATCATCTTCATCTTTTCTTCAAACGCGGAACGAACCCACCTGGAATGCGAATTCGATTTGCAGAAAAAAAGTCGAAATAATTATGATACATAGCTAATTATTTTTTTTTTACTAGAAAGATGTCCAGAGACATTTGTTTTTGCCAATGCTTCAAAATTTAGCGAAAAAGCGTCACAGTATTTTCATTAGATAAATTTGCAACGCGCATAGCCACTTCCTTATTAGGGTGATGCTTCTCAATGTAAGATGCAAAAGTCTGCCATACTTTCAGCATTTCTCTTATTTTGCCAGAAGATTGTTGTTTTTCTGTTACCTCCTCCTGCTCCTCTGACAAACTTCTCCCCAAACTTCTTGCTGTGAAACACAATGCAACTCCATAAGCTCTTGGTTGGTCAGCTCTTCGCTGTGCTCTTCCACAAGCTCTTTGATATCACTGTTATCCACCTTCAATCCCATGATAGTGAAGAAAAGACACAATCTCGTTGACTACAGGTTCCACGGGTACAGTCTCAAACCTCTCAAAGTCACAAATCGACAATGCTCTCTGGCCAACGCTTCTTCCAAGCATAAGTTAGGGTTTTCTTGGTAACCTCTTCCCCTGCCTTGTCGATCATCTTCAGGCAGGCAACGATGTGGAAGTGATTTTTCCAAAACTCTTTGAGAGTAAGATTGCTCCCTTCAGTCACCTGAAAACAATGCTTGAAGAGTGCTTTAGTGTAGAGCTTCTTAAAGTTAGAAATAACTAGCTGGTCCATGAGCTGGAGTAACGGAGTGGTGTTGGGAGGCAGAAACTGGATATTGACGAAATCAAATTCTTCAAAGAGGTTATCTTGTAGGCCTGGAGTATTCATGTACATATATCACAATATAACACAAGTTTGAGAAAATGTGTGATCACAAGCGACACCATGATGCTACTGGAACGAGTGCTAAACACAGACTGATGTAACATGTGCACAGTTCGGGACTTCCACTCTCCTCGCCACTCGTTATGCAAAACGTCACTCATTAAGCAGGTCGTTTTTTTACAATTTGTTTTGCTCGTTATGCGAATTACTCGTTATGCGAGGTGCTCGTTAAGCGAGGTTCTACTGTATTTAGTGGAGTTTCACAATTTAACAATTCAGTAAAGTATTCCTTCCATGTTATGAGTCATATTATCTTCACAACACTCAGGACACATCCATAGGCGCTCAGATTTCCCTCTCAACATATTCATCAGCATCGTGCGGTTAATGGTGCCAGTCCTATGTTGGTTAACAAGACTTGTGTGCGTCCAGTGTGCTTCTCATGCTTGGCTTTGCCGATCTTTACTCCCAATTTGCGTATTCTTAGCAGTGATGTGGACATGTTGCTTCCAAAATCCTCAGAACGTCCTAACTCTCTAAGGACAATGACAAAGTCTGTGTGATCCATGGGCCGAGCATCTTCAATTAATGCAGCACCTGCCAGTATATCAGCTACCTCATTACCAACAACGCCTGCATGCCCTGGGATGAATATGAAGGTAACTGCACACATAGGAGTTTTGCATTGACTCAAACCACTGTCTGCGCAATCAGCCTGCCTCGACCTGCTGGATCATGCTCAAAGAGTCACTCAGCACACACACACGCGGGGGAAGAGTCCTGTGATTCTAGCCACATGAAAGCTTGTGTCACCGCCATCACCTCCATCGTCATGCTGCTGGTGGTCATGGAGAAAGCACCGCTGGCTTCTTGAACTTTTCTGCCTGAACAGCGAGCTGTAAATGCCGATGCACTCTTATGTCCTCATATAATGGACCCGTCTGTGAAGATCACCACATCTGTCTCATCTGACTTGCAACTGATGAGCGCGCATACCTCTGCACTGACAGCAGCTGGATTCTGCTAACGACAACTTCTATCCAGTGTTACGGCACAGGGGAATGTAAGATGGATGTCTTTAAGGTTGCAAACCTGCATGATGTCATCCTTCATCCTCTGTCCTACCCAGCCATGATTTGCCCCTTTTAAGCCTACTGCCCTTTTTCTTGAAGAGCATATGGTACAAAGGGTG